GAGTAGCCAAGAAACACAAATCGGTGAGCGCGGGATTGAAGTTTGGATTTATGAGGTTGTGTGTTGTGGCATAACAAAGGCAACCAAACACACGAAGCATGGAGTAATCAAGTGGCCTGTGAAGAAGTTTTTGGTATGGGGTGCTCCAATTAAGTATATGAGTGGGCAGTCGATTAACAAGGTAGGTGGCTATCAAAAGAGTATCTCCTCAATAAGAATAAGGAAGTTTGGACTGAAACAAAAGAGCACGGATAAGTTGGAGAAGATGCTGATGCTTTCGTTCAACATGCTCATTTTGTTAGGGGGTAAAAGGACATGTTCGTGTTCATGGGGAATACCATGAAAGCGAAAGAGGGTTTGACAATTATGACTAAGGAACTCAGAACCATTTTCGGATCGAATATGTTTAATATAACATTCATAATTCATCCGGACATAGGTAATGAAGTAGGCAAGTTGTGTGGTGACTTGAGATTTATCTTGTAAAAGATAAACCCATGTCGAACGGGTAAAATCATCCAAAACAGTCAGGAAGTATTTAAAGGTATTTCATGGAACACGATAGGGTCCCCAAATGTCAATATGAAGTAAATCGAATGGATGTTGTGTTTCATTAGTACTAATGGGGAATGGAAGCTTTTTCTGTTTAGAAAAATGACACGTATCACATGGAGCAGAACCGACATTTTTATAACAAATACATGGGATATGTTGAAGTACATTATCGAAAGGGTGAGCTACGCCTTGATGCCAAAGCTGGGAGGAGACAATATAGCAGATGGAGTTGTTGGATGATGGTGATGACTGTTGCTAGAAATGATAAAGATGGCTTACAACTTGTCCAATAGCTAATGTGGCTTTAATCTTCTGGTCCTGGATCAAACATGATGAGGGAAGAAATACTAGTTGACAAGTTGAGTCATGACAGAGTCTTTGTACAAAGATTAGATTTAACTGGAAAGAAGGAAAATAATGAACATCATGAAGAACAAGAGATGGGGATAGAATGATAGTTCTAGTCATAGATGAATGTTGGGTTGATCCATCTAGGAAGTGGACAGTCGTCCCCAACCATGACTGCCATAACATCGTGTAGAGTTCTTTGTGAGCACACACATTAACATGTTGCCCTTGAGTCCAATAGCCATGTATGTTGATCGACTTCTTCAATATGAGGTAAGACAAATGGAGTAAGATATATACCTGTTACTGCACCAGATTCCATCAAATGTTCACTTGTGGTGGCTGACGGCATAGAAAAATATTTTTGCACCTCCCGCTGGATAAGGCTGCTGAGATTTGATGGTGCATCTTGAAGTGCAGCTGTCACGTGAGATCCATAAGACATTTTCTTAGCCCTCAGTTCTTTATACCAATCCAGCGTCCCATGGATCTTGAAACAGATTTCTCTCGTATGGCCAGGTCGTTTGCATACATCGCAGTAGGCATTCATGTTGGTTGTCGAACACCTTTTGTCACCAGGCCTCACAGAATGTTCCACTGGTTTGTTTGAGGCCAACAACAGAGCTTGGTCTGGACTATCAATATTCTGGACTTGAAGCTCCCGTTGTTTCTCAATGCGACATATCATCGCAAAAGCTTTGTTGAGAGGGGGAAGGGGATCCATCATCAACACTTGACTTCTAGCTCCATCATAGGACTTTTGAAGTCCCATGAGAAACTGCACAAGTTGTGTCATATGGATATAGTTGGCGATAGCTGCATCACAGCCACATTTGCATCCCCCACAAGTACACTTTGGGAAAGGAGCAAGGCATTATAACTCATCCCAAGCCTTTGTCAGTCGTCGTAAACTATCCAACAACAGAGCTATTTCCTTGCGTTGTGGCTGTGAGATCACGTTGCAACTGATATATAAGGGGGCCGTTACATTGCCCAAAATATTCTTCAGGCTTGTTCCATAAGTCCTGTGCCGTTGCAGCATACTACGCATCAACTAAATCTTTTGAAATAGAGTTAAGGATTCATGTCTGGATCGTAATCTACTTTCCTCCAGAGATTATACTATGTTGTGTTTGATGCTGGTAGTGAGATGTCATTAGTAACGAATCCAAGTTTCATCTTGGCTCCTAATGCCATCCTCACACCTCGACTCCAGGTAAGATAATTGTGTTCGGTGAGTGGATTACTCACCATCTGCATCCCTGGGTGATCAGAGGGGTGTAGTAGAAGACTTTCAGAAACAATAGGCTCTTTACCTTTTTCCTCTGCAACCATTTTGATTTTATTTCCGAATGTTGCCGATGATACCTTCCTCCTTTGCGGACCTAACGAATTTGTATAGATATGGAACCAAGAATTGTTGGAAGCTCTGATACCATATATATATAAAAAAAAAAAAAAAAAAAAAAAAAAAAAAGGAGAAAAACATAGAGAATTATATATATATTAATATGTTCTCATGTATATACTAGGATACTACTAAAATACATAATTTTCTATTTATTATTATTAACTTTAATTAAATTGGACACTTTTTACTAATGAATTATAATAACAAATAAGCAAATATAGTTATTTGTTTAGTCGAGAATGGGCTACCGATATGGCATTGATTATCGTTTAGACAAGATTGGACTATCAATATGGCATTGCTTATTGTTTAGCTGAAGAGATTAGGCTATCGATGTGACATTAATTATCATTTAGCTAGGATTGGGTTATCGATGTGACATTGATTATTGTTTAGCCGGGATTGTGCTATCGATGTGGCATTGTTTATCGTTTAGTCGGATTGAGCTATCGATGTGGTATTGATTATCATTTAGTCAAGATTGGGCTATCGATATGATATTGCCGGGATTGGGCAATCGATACACATTGATTATCGTCTAGTCGGGATTGAGCTATCGATATGACATTGATTATCATTCAGCCGGGATTGGGCTATCGATATGACATTAATTGTCGTTTAGCCGGGATTGGGCTATCGGTATGATATTGATTATCGTTTAGCCAAGATTGGGCTATCGATATGATATTGATTATCGTTTATCCTGGATTGGACTATCAATGCGACTTCTATTATCATTTAGTCGGGATGGGACTATCATACTCATTGATTATCGTTTAGCTGAGATTGGACTGTCAATGTGACATTGATTACCATTTAGCTGGAATCAAACTATCGATGTGGCATTGATTATTGTTTAGTTGGAATTGAGTTGTCGATATGCATTGATTATCATTTAGCCATAATTGGGTTGTCTATACGCATTAATTATTGTTTAGCTAGGATTGCACTATCGATATGATATTAATTCCAGTCATAAATACCAAATTTAATTTCGATCATAAATATATTATTGAATTTTTAAATTTCAAAGAATAATTTATTATATATGCATGTATATAATTTTTGGATCCCGGTAACTGGTATGCGCGTCTGTGGCTTACCGGCATTTATATGTCTAACCACATTATTAATAACCACCATACAATTCATATGCATTTCAACTCACTGAATAATCGGTTCCGAAAATTATGAATTTAATTTTTCGATTAAATAATTAACCGTTTTCCAACATATATGAGTCAGAAGGATATGATACTTTAGGTTGAATAGAGGTTAGATTGATTAGTGTGTTTGTTTGGGATTGGATTGGATTTACACTATTCATCCAATTTTTTCCCCCCAAAAACATCAAATCAAATACATATTTTTTATTTTTTTATATTATACTAAAAATCAATTTTACATTCAAAACATCACATCACCACCTATTTATATCACATCATACAACTATTCAAATTCAAAATTTTTATTATTCAAATCCCGAACTCAAAATTTTAAACCCCCAAACAAACTTTACTAGGTGTATTTGTTTGGGGGTTTCGATTTTGAGTTGAGATTTGAATAGTAAAAATTTTGAATTAAGCGTACTTACCTGGTTGTCACACGTAGAAATAGCACTTAAAAAGAAATTCATATGTAGTTTTTATTACTTAAAAAAAAATAATAATACAATTATGAAAAGTAACATGTGCAAAAACTTTTGATTTTATTATTATTATTAAGTTAAATTAGATTTTGACACTTTCATACATTCAGAAACCACAAAAAGATAGCAAATTTTAGTACTATTAGTAACACATAATAATCACCATTAATCTTATCATTTGTAAATTCTTATTCCCGATTAATAGACTTTATTTTAACAATATCACGTAAAATAATATACAAAATTTCAGTAGTTTCCAACCAGCCACTTCTAGACGAACCATGTGTGGCAGATGACTTAAGACAACAGGGGATTGAACCCATAATCTCATGGTCACATTTCCACTCCCACACCACCGGTCCATCCCTTGCGGACACCGATATTTATCACTATTGATTTATTCAATTTTCGGGTCACTCGAACCCAAATCCGACTTGATTTACAATAATCATCGATATTTTTTAATTAATTTCAAAATAAATTATATTAATAAATAAAAATATTTAAAATTCATATAGTATTTATTATATTTGTTATTTAAAATTTTATAATTAAAAAATATAAACTAAAACACATTTTATCCATTTTGATTTATTTGTTATCTTCTTTTGTTCTTCATCTTCCTTTTGGTACTTTTTTTTTATTAACTTAGTTCTTTCATGTATGTAATTTTTAATTATTCAAAATTTTAATAAAATATGTTTCATTTTTTTTCATATTTTTGAATTTATTTAGCGTCAGGTTCATATTTTCAAGTCTATCTCGTTCTGATCAATCTAACTCGAAAGAATTCGTGTCGTATTTGGATTTAGGAGTTGGGTTAAAATCGGGTTTGGATCATATTCAGATTGACAATTTTTTTCTATAGCCATAACTTAACCTAGCACAAACACGACCGAAAAATACAAATTTACACCCTAACTACACTTCAATTTCTCTATTCTATAAATAGTTTTCAAGTATGCATGTCCTTTCTCTTCTTATAGTGTGCTCACAGAAAATTCACCTGAACATTCTTCAGAGCAAAAGTTGAACATATTCATGTAATGGGTTTTGGATTTTCCAAACTGATGATAAAATATCAGATATATAGTGTGCACTAAAACAGGCATTCATATTGAATTACTACTCAGTTGGAATGTTATTGGCCAATGGAACAAACACTCCTTAATTGTAAGGTGCTATATGATGTTCTATGGTTGATCCATGGAGAAAATAGATGATCCAGTTGTATGAGACTTGCCTGTATAGAAGAGTTTCCCGGCCTGCCTGCCTGCGCTTTCTACTCCCACAGCTGACTTCTTATCGGCGCTGCCTAGAAGCCCTGCTGAACATGTCTTTGATATTCTGGGAATCATTTTCTACTTTGAGTTTTTTGGTTTGCCTCGTTGTCCGGGTAGTTTTCTTGTTGATGCTGTTAGGCCCCTGAGTGAAGGGAAGAGAGTCGAGGTTAAATGGGAATGTTTATGCCAAAAGGATTATTTCATGTTATGCGTAGCTTGTTTTTCAGATTCAAATAGTTTTAGGGTGTGTTTGTTTGGGGGATTCTACCCCAAATACACTATTCATTCAATTTTTTCCTCCAAAAAATATCAAATCAAATACCTATTTTTCATTTTTTATATTATACTAAAAATTAATTTTACATTCAAAACATCACACCAACACCTATTTATATCACATCATACAACTATTCAAATTCAAAAATTTTTACTATTCAAATCCCAAATCAAAATCCAAACCCCAAACAAACACACCCTTAATGTCTTAAAGAAGTTGAAATTTGAAATAACACTGGCAATAAATTTGTTTGTTGTGAACCTGGATAGGATTAAATGATGAAGGAGAGTCTTCGGTGGAAGGTGGAAGCATCTCAACTTCCTTCGGTATTGTATATTCAGGAACTTTTAATCTGCAAATGTAAAAATTCAATATTTAGACACGAAAACTGCACCGTGCGACTTCGGATTCTTATTACTCTAACAAACTTGATAGCTGTATAATATACAGGGACAAACATAAAGTTGTAGATGGTGTAATAAGTTTCTATGCTCGAATACAGAAATATTAATCATGCAAGACATGAACATTTGACCATGTAACACAAACATAAGGTTGTAAAGGATTTGAAATTTTGAAAGCTAAAGAAATCCAAGCAACATTTCAAACAAGGTTGTGAGCTGCTAATCATCAAGTTTAATTGCCCCAAGTTTATTTCAGGTAGATACAATCATTACTGAAAAATGAAAAAAAGTAGTTTGCTGTCAGGGAGAAAGATAAGAATACATACTTTAATTTGTCACACAAGAGATTCATCCAAGGTTCATCCTTCAGGTACTCTCCCACAATTGATGCTGCCTCAAATACTGAAGTGTGAAAATATTTTAATCAATAACAAAATAATGCAGGGATATTGCTTGACATAGTTTCCTATTCATGCTGTAATGACATAACAAAATATAATAGCAGATGTCATGAAAACAAGACTCGATTATCAATAGAAATATCTATGAAGTGCTTTGCAGAAACTTCTCAGTTATCAGAGTACTAATGAAAGACAAGCCATCATGTAGAAGTGAATTCTGTTGAGCATCTTCAGTTGTCAGGCAAGAGGAAGGTAAATGTTTTACCGAGCTAAAGATATATTGAAGGAGTTTAGAAAATATATGACGTGGCTTCTTCTTTTCATATGATATGACTGATGAAGTATATCTATGAACAACGTACACGTATCTTTCTTATTTTGGGCGGCATAATTCTTATCCAATGTTGGCAATGTCTGCGTCAACTGGTGTACCTATTAATGTTGGAAATATTAAACATGTATAAGACAAAGATGCAGTAAACATGTATGAGGAAAGAATTTGAAATGGAATGCATGATTTCTTATGTAGATATTGACAGAGAATCATCGTTTGGTGCTTTTAAGAAAACCATACTGTTGGGGTGTCTTACAATGAATAAGAAAATGTCTTGTAAACAAACAAGTCATAATTATGATAGCAAACTCAAAATGAAAGTATGCAGATCAATCTTATCGAATTATAATATAAAATATAACCTTAAACTAACTCTTCAGTTCTTCAATACGCACATCCTTCCATTTCCATTTATAAAGAATTATTGAAAATCCATCCACAAGACATCTAACATCACTATCATCTCATGCGGATATCTAAAAAAAACAAGAGCAACATCTTTCACTTAAAATTACTAATACAAGTTCCCAAGCAAACAAAATGTAAACGAGAATCAGAGACAAAACTAACCTTATAGCATAGCCACTTGAGTACCTTCAAGTCATTGAGCCTAAAAAACTTGGTGGGGCCGACATCTGCTTAAAACAACGAAACAAAATTATTTGTAGTTCTCAGTAGATTCCTCCAAAAGACAAGTATATGGGTTACACAAATGACAAGATCAAGGAGTTGGTATTCATTATAATGAAGATATTATGTGTGCTGTTTATGGATGTGGCTTGGATGTAAATACAAAGGCAATGTGAATAAAAATGGCGGGATCACAAGCACAGCTAGCATATGGATGTTGTCTTGTGCGTATTAATCATGGATGACATGGAGGGACAGGAGGCGCGATGTGAATAAAAATGCAATAGAAAGATGAACACAACCACAAGCATCAATTTATTTACCCTGTTTTACAATCGCCTAAATCGAGAAAGTTGACTCCTACTTTTCTTTTATACAAGGGTTTGATAGAGGACTTTTCAAGCACCCACCAATTAACGAATAAATCTTAAATAATCTCTGGCTTAATTCCGCAAACATGTTGAACTCACAAAATTTCTATGCGAGAAACATGTAAAATCAAGATAGTTAACCATTTGAACCCAACACAAATCTTCAATTATCAAAAGAACTTGGATTGGTCAATAGGATTTGCCATATATAGAGAAATAGTCCAAGACGATATACATTGAGTTATAAAAATCAGAACACAAAAACCAGACCAAAAATTAACCTTGCTCTCTCAAAAGCATTAGTTTCAATCCAGAAGCAGTTAAGCACAAATTCCCAAGTAGAATAGCTAAGGGTTAATTTTGTTCAATTGCACTATCTAAACAGAGGCATTGGTACTGATGAGTGGTAAAACAATTTTGAGATTGTTTCCATTGAAGTGCCGTGAGATTGCTAATATATGGTTATATTTGTATTCTAATATGGTGTAAACAATAATGAATATCCAATGAGTGTCATATGATTTTCATGTCTAGCTTATTCATAATAAACTAGTTTTTGAAATACCTTTAACATCGCAAACAACTTGCATAGCCTTATTGGCAGTGGATAATAAAGACTGATAACCTGGGTACCCCTGAACGAACATTATGTCATCTACCTGCCTAAATTTTCCAGGATCATCGCCTTTCTGCAGTCATTGAAATATACAATAAATAGGTTTATAAGTTTGTTCTCCATAATGGGTTCAGAAAATAAAAGCCTGCTCAATGAGAACCAAGAAGAATATTTCTGAACAAAAGTTTTTCATTATCTTTCATGACCTAGCTAACATTGTAGAGGATTAATCTATCTAACAAGAAGATTTCCCAAAACTAACAAAGCAATAAAAATTACTTGCAAATAGAAATACTGCCCACAAACCTTCATTCGAGCTTCATCAAAGATCGGCAATAGAATGAAAACAGGATCAACTGGAGTGGCAGCATACAACCTACCGTCTGTATCATTCAACCAACAAAAGTATAAAGAACATGCAACTAGTTATTAATGAATGGAGAAAAAGAATGTCAGGGCTCTAGAAAAATTCATGAGAAAAAGAGAATAGAGATTTGGTTGATGGAAGCTGAGATCTGCCAAAATGAATCTGATGAGCATATCCAGTAAGTAGGATGACATAATGCTGAAATCTAAATGCATTTTCATACCTTCACACACATAATCCCCAAGGAACCATGAGCCATAAGATTGCTTAAACCAGTGAAACTCTTGCAGAATTCCATCATTATGCAGGTAGCACATTGTATTCCCTGTGATGTCGAAATACATCTTTTACTATTACAAATAAAATTACAAGTTCTAGACACTCAATTTGCATTCGTGTATCCCATATGTTCTCTTGCATAAGACAAGAATATTAGCAGGAAAAACAAGGGTAGAGGCATAACCCTGCCTCATCAGTCCTTGTAAATAATAGAAATAAGCTAACTTTGGGTTTTAACCTCTTCAAGGGTAAAGACATAGGCCAGGAAATTGAAGACTCCAACAATGAACTAAAAAAACATGGATGTGTAAGATTAATCCAAGCCAAAGCTTTAGGAAGGCTAGCAGAACAAATATACTAAATGTAAGAATAGAAGGATTTAGAACAGATCGTTAATTTTGTTAGTTAATACCTGTTTTGGGATGCCGAAGTGACAAAAATTCACCAGCATGCTTTCCACTGCGAGAAGAATCTGCAATCAAAACTTATAAACTGCAAATTGAATTCAACCCAACCCATTGAGACACAAGCAAGCAATTCTGGGGAAAAGATATGATGATTACACAATAATCTTGTGGAAAGGTTGAAACTTGAAAGCAAAGTTCATACCTTGTGCAATAAGAACACGAGTTTCATTAGCGCCTTCCCACCAAGCCATTCTAAACACACATCAAAAGAAAAGCCAAATGAAGACAAAATAATAATAATAATAATAATAAAAACTCGAAATCCTACATTTGAATGTTTCTAGCCTAGGGCAAGGGCAAGCGCCGTCCTTACCCAGACCCTGCTGTCTTCAGTGCAAAGTGGTAGCGCGCGGGCTGTGTCGCGATATTCAATTTTACCGACTTCGGGCTAATTGAAGAAATCTGGAGCAAAGAGAAATGTGCATTATAACAGTATAAAAGAAAATTGACTTTTGGATTATATTACATAATAGTAAAAGTGTTCAAAGAGTGTGTTTGGTTGAGGCCGCAACTGGATTGGCAGTGCAAACAAACTTTTGGGAGAAGACGAAGACTCCAGAGACGAGGTCGAGGTCGAGGTTGAGGTTGAGGAAGAAAGACGCAGCGGCGGGCGAAAGACAACGAGCACCAAGCAGAGGCAAGACAACGGGCGTTTAATGTCATTTAAGTTTTAAATCTAAATTAAATAACAGTTTCTTTTATCGATTTTCCTCGTACTCCTATTATTATTATTATTTCTTTTGGTTTACTGAACAAGCTGTTGGATCAGTAAAAAATATTAATTTAATAAATATTTGGTAAATTACCTTTTAGAAATAGCATTTTGGATCCAAAAAGTTAATTTATGAAAAGTTCATCTACCGGTGTTTTGAAAGAATTTTTTATTTTAATTTTGGTTATTTTCTTGTTTATCCTTGATGTATTTTTTCAACAAATAAAAAATAAAATTCAAAGATGTAGAAAATATCTTTAAACTTGATTAATTAGCGTCAGAGATTAGGAATCTCTAAACACTATACGGAACATAAGAAAACATAACTGGAAATTAAAATGCTGAAAATTTAAAATGATGATCCCCGAATCTGACTTTACTTTTGTTGAAGTTGATTGAAGATGTCTTCTTCACAAAAATCCAAATCCTTAAATATTCCTCGAAGAAAACGCTTGGAACCGTCGTCTGGTCGGTTACAGCAACCGCCGTCAACCGCCCAAAAGAAACGTTTTGAAACGTCGTATGGTCAGTTACAGCAACCGTCTCGCCAACTGCATAACCCAACCGACTAATCCAGCGACTAACTGGTCGCTAGACCAAAAGACTCCTTGGCCGCCCCCACCAAGCGACCAAACTACTGTTCACTTAAATGGGCAATCAATTACCAGACCTTACTTCGCCCGACTTCCCGACCTATGGACCATTCGACCCACTAACCAACCGACCGCAGACCTTCCGACCTATGGACAATCCGACCCGCTAACCAACCGACCTGACTATCCTACGCAGATCTTCCGACTTGCCTATCCGACCGAGGACCAACCGACCTGCCTATCTGACCGAGGACCAACCGACCTGCCTATCCAACCGCAGACCTTCCGACATGCCGATCCGACCGAGGACCAACCGACCAGACCAACCGACCGAGGACCAATCGACCTGACCAACCGACCTGAGCGCAAATTTTTCTTCTTTTCCAGCCGACTTCGTGCCTAACTTTCTTTAAGATTCTGCTGTCCTATTTTTATTATTATTATTATTATTTGTGCGTAACAATCCTTAAAACTTAATTATTTATTTTATACATATAAATATATTTTCATAGCAATTATTTTTAATATATTTAATTTATTAAATTATATTTTTATTTTTATAAATTTAAAATAATTACTATTATTAATTATTACATATAAATTATTTTATTTGTAAAATATATAAAATTTTAAAACTAAATCAAATAGAAAAAATAAATTTATTAATTTATTTATATATTAAAATAATAATTAACATAATAAAAATATATATACAAAAGATTTATTATTTTATATTGTATATAATTTCAATAAAAAAATTATTATTTTTTTAGTAAAAATAATTTTATCAGATCTAAATAATAAAAATAAAAATAAATATTTTATAATATTTTTCAATTATTAATAACAAAAATTCTTATAAATTTCAAACCAAAATGAAAAAAATTAAATATTTTTAAAAATAACATATCAATGTCCTTAATAGTCATTTTATGTATAAACAGCTAATGTCAAACCGTTGTTTTACTAAACACTTTAATACAAACCGCTAATTGAATCGACTAGTCAAACCAATTAATTAAATAAGCTAACAGCTAAAAGCTATAGCTAATTGCCAAACGCACCCCAAATAAAATACTTCATTATAGAATTAATATATAATTAAAAAATATATTAATAAAAATAATTATAAATAAAAATTAAAATGAATAAATTATTTAATTAAAATAAAAAATATTTCTTCTATCCCAAAAATAAAAGATGATGGTGTCTGGTACCCTATTTAAGGAATAATAATAAATGGGTATAAAGTAGGTATTAAAAGACAAAATTATCCTTAAATTAAATGAATTGAAACAAAAGAATATCATAAGTATTTACAGCGAATTTAGAGTGATTAAATAAAATAAATGTAATAATTAAAAAAATATACATGTAGTAATTAAAAATAAATAAATAAATATTAATCCTTCAAAATCAACCTTTTTTTATTAAAAAAAATTACAATTCAGTAGAATGAAAGCACAAGATGTAAGGATGGAATAGAAAACAACATGGGCTCAGCAGCATGCACAAACATCAAATATAAAGACATTCCAAACCGTCATAAAATGCCTCAATCGACATGCATCTAAACACGACAATTTCTGATAATATAAAACATCAGACTTTCATATATGTCGATAAAATAAAATACTCTACATCATTTTTTGGAGAATACAAAGAATTACATTTCACCAACCACAAAATTCACAAAACCTTATTTATTTCCCTCTATATCAAAAATAGAAGGACAAACATATACTCTCTTAGAGAAAAAAAAAATTGTTTCCCTCCATTAAGAACTCATAAGTAACCAAAGAAACACACCATAATTTCATTTACTTCTTTTTCAAGATGGCCAAAAAGAATTTAAGCAATGAGCAACTCAATCAAGTAGTCACATTTTTGTGTTAAAATTCATCCAATGAGAAGCCTCATCGTGGCAAAATCACGAAGCTGCTACAAAAGTAGGTTTTTCAACAAGGACAATCAGCCGTATATGGAAAAGAGCAACAGATCAACATAAAAAAGGTAAGAACATGTTCTTAACCAACTAAAAAGCTGGCAAAGGAAGAGCGAAATCAGTGCAATTTAATGCAACCGGTTTGAAAGCTATTCATTGCAGTAAAAGAGGTACATATAGAAGTATTGCCAAAGATTTACAAGTGAGCAAAAGTAGTGTTGGGAGATGGTTCAAAGATGGATTATTCAGAGCACATACGAATGCAATCAAACCAAGCTTAACCAAGAAGAACAATGTAAGCCGGCTCAGATTTTGCCTTCAAGCATTAGAGGTGCTAGAGGAGTCCAACATAATAAAGTACAAAAGCATGTCCAATATCGTACACATTGATGAAAAATGGTTTAACTTATCTAAAGATAATGATAGGTACTACCCAACAAACGATGAGGTTGAACCATATAGAACATGTCAAAGCAAAATGTTCATTACAAAGGTAATGTTCCTTTGTGCCGTATCAAGGCCATTATATTATATAAATGGGAAATGTGTGTTTGATGGGAAGATAGGAATCTTTCCATAAACAAAGAAAATGCCCGCCAAGCGTAACTCGAAGAATCGGATTGCCGGGACAATGGAGATAAAAGTGTTGGACTCTATTACAAAAGAAGTAACGAAACAACTACTAATAGATGAGGTAACCACACTATTTATAAGTAATTGGCTTCATCTTATTCAACTCTCAGCAATAATCCAATATTTGTTAGTCATCAGGCATAAGTTACAATAATGAATATAAACTTAGATGATGTGCTTCCACTTTTGCGTGCAATAGCATCAGGCATGAGTTATAGAATAAGAACGTTTAAGGAATATGTGATCAATCGATAGAAATTTAGTACCTTTGAACAAAGTGATGGGCAGGCGAGTCAGAGATATGGAGTTGCAGTGCAATCTAATAGCAATGACGGTACTTCAATAGAATACTATGAAGTAATTGAAGAGATTTTGCAAGTGCGTACGATTACATTATCACATGAATGTGGTTTTGTTCCGTTGTTGATGGGTTGACCCTAAACAAGGCACGCGGCGCCATTATACATATGATTTGGTCGATGTGAACTTTCGGTATCTTCTTAGGACAAAAGAGCCTACATACTGGCACAACAAGCAAAACAAGTTTTTTTTTCGTTGAGTATGCTAAAAAAACTAAATCCAACTCCAGATGGATGGTTGTTATGAAAACCAGGCTACATAATGTGGTGGACGTGATATGGGATGATTTGACGTATCAGTCTGATCGAGTGCAAGGATCCACGACGTGGATAGACTCTAATGCATCTCACAATTTATCTGATACTGTTCAATTTAATGTAAATGTAGCTTTACATGTAAGTCAGTTGGAATCTTTTGTAAGTAAAACTAATGACCGTCATATTTCTGACTGGGAAAAGGTTGATGTACATGAACAAGATAGTGATTAATTTGCTAATTTTGTTGAATAAGTAAACACTCTTGATTTGTGAGTTCTCATATATTATGTTGGAACCATTTATTTGTATTTCTACAGATCAGATGCAATAGAAAATGTTTTATGCCTTTACCTGTTTTTTTTTTTTTTATTTTTTAGTAACAGATAAGGTCAAAGCTTGGCTTCGTGTGATCCTTGGTTTGACAAAGTTGAAAGGTTCATGAGAGGATCCTGGAACATAAATAAAGGTTTGGAAGTTGCAACAAAGATTATTTTTCAAGATATCAAGCTCTTGCATTTATTTTCTTCGATCAGTGTTGAATTGATTTGAAATATGGTTCATGCTCTGAAATTTTCTTATTTCCCAAGGATTGCAACATGAGATGCAGAGAGCATCAATTTTCTTGTTACTACAACTTCAGTGTTCTTTTAAGTTCTTTAGTGCAAAATCATGTTGCAATAAATTCATGGTTTCAGAGATGGGCATTTGATGCCACTGAAAGTTTACCCCTACATATGAGGTTATTAAGAACGAATAGAAGAATGAAATCCGGAGGTGAAAGTAAGTTGTGGGTGACATATAAGAATGGTTAATACAAAATAGGCATTTAACAGTTTCATTTATTTGTCCTTTTTCTTTACAATAGGTGGGAATCAATCTTACAAGTTCCTTATTGTTGGGCTTTAACCAGTTAAGTAAGGTTTTCAAAATCGAATACGAAACATGTTATATTGAAATTTTCTTATGCAGGGTATGACTCGGAAAAATATGCTAGCATTGGTATGGTTTCACTAAGTTATGTCCAAAAAGGATGTCCAGAAAGTGTCTAAAGTCATGATAATCTTGGTTGATTTTGTGGTAAAGTTTCTAAAACTAGTATGTATGGTTGTGTTGAGTTATTTGCATATTAATTTGGTGCTTTTGAGAAGTGTTAGCT